CTTTGCATCATAGTGGCATCGCCCCGTTTGGAGTGGATTGTTTAAAACAAAAATTGCCATGTTGAGTAAAAATTCCTCTAGCACGGCCTATTCTATGATCATTTTCCCTCTTCTCTTATACTAATACTATACTAATTCTATTATAACTAGAATGTTTTGGAAATCTTTACAATATTTAGTATTGTTGAAGTTATCGATAACATTTTTGTCGAGATTTACAAGCTCTCCGTTTCGTTCAATTTCGCAAACCAATGGATAAAATTTGAATAAGCTGGAAAAATACTTCGACAAAAACCCTATTTCGTAGTTTAATAATTTCTATAATTTAATTTAATCTAATTTTTTTAAGCCGTCATAGCAAACAATATCTTTAAAGAACATTTCTTTTTTTTCCTTTTTAACAGCGAAGAATAAATTATAAGGATTTCTTATTCTTGAGCATGCAACATTGCACTGGCTATGCGTAAATATTTCTCTCTGAAGCCAAATTCCAACTTTTGAAGCTTTTAGCCTAGTTATTCCTTTATAGTTCTTTCGAATGCGCGACGAAATGGAAATAGGTTCTTGTGTATAAAACTTGAAGGAAAGATATGTAAAAACAATATTAGATTTTTATTAAATAAGTATTTGTTATTTTAAACATTAAATTGCTTTTAAAATAGTGGGAGTAATTTGTAAGTTAAGTAATATAAATTTTAATTTTTCCAAAATAATGAAAATTTATTGCACTAAGCTATGCATCCTAATAAAAACTACGGTACTTTGTACCCCCCTACTGTTTACACTTCTCCCCAAAATTTGGTTTCGATAGGTCAATGTACGGCTATTTTCGTGTGTGTGACGGATAGAAGGACGGACTAACGGAAGTCACAGAATTTTATATATAGACTGATCTATATACCGAGGTATTTAGAGTGCTTAGTATTTACTAATTCCATATCCTGAATTTTTATGATGACAGCGAGAATAACTTGATAATTATTGCACCTCAGTAAGAATCCTAGATAGATATCTAGTAGAAACAGTTTAGTCTGAGACGAAGCCGCATTTAGGGGCGTAAATACCGAATAAGTAATACAAGTCTGTTGCCCAATAAAACTTCCAACGACAACAAGAATTTTGAAGATATGATATCTTCTTAACACAATTAACTTTGATACAACGGACTAAATAACTGACTTTATGCTTCTCCAACTCATATATCACCTAACTCTGAAAACGTTTTCTAAAAATGACACTTGAAGCCTGATCTCTTGTTAAACCCTCTCGTTTTAAACGACGAAAATATAAGAAAAGTAACCCGTTAACTAATGCCAACAGCGTAGAACCAATATTGACAGTTAGGGCAGCGTGAGGGTCAGCAAAGAGTTCACTAAGCGTAAAATATAAATATTGAACGATGACTTTTTCTGGCAGGAGGTCAGATAGTATAACACAAATCGCTAACTTTGAGAACAGGTCAGCCATTTCGGGGTGGGGTGGAGAATGATTAGAACAAACAGGAAAAGAGAGGGCGGTAGTTATGTTCGGTTGATAATTTCCCTCTTTTCGCTGAATTTAAAAACATTTGATGCCAGCATTGATACCATTTCAGCATTTATTTCCTCGAAGAGCAAAGAAGGAGACGACATTCGGAAAAAAGAGCTGGCAGATGCCACAGTAATTTCAGATAAAGAGTGAAAAATGATTGTCACGACGTAAGAAAGATATAACAACACCTCTTGAGTTTATGTCTCGGGAACATCGAAATAAGTTGGACCCGATCAAATGCAACTTGACAGAAAACCAATGCGAGAAATTAATGAGATACACGCACACACATATACACACATAATCACACACACATATACAGACACTGAAACACATATACGTATATATATGATATAACATATAATTTTATAGAATTGTATATATCAACAGAACAGTGTTTATAAAAATATAACAAAGTGGGAAAAAAGGTTTTTGTGACGCGTTTCAAGGTTAGGATTTCATCGGACTGGGATTTGTTGATGTTGCCACGTCTACGCATGCGTATGAAACAGATACATTTGATTAGATAAAAAATATTTCTTCCAAAAATATATATATTTTTCCAAAATTTTTAAACTACCAGCTTCTCTCGTTTCGTGTTCATGTGTAGACGTGGCAACGTCAACAAAGCCCAGTCCGATGAAATCCTAACGGATGAAATGCGCCACAGAAACGTTTTTTTTCAATTTGTCATACGTTTTTATAAATATATATATATATATATATATTATTATGAAATGGACTAAGTCTGGCAATTATCTTAATATATTTTATTTTCTGTTTATACATTATTTTTATGGATAAATTTATCTAACTAAATGCTCTGTTTTTATAAACAGTATTAATTACATTTACCGGACTGAATCTCCGAGAAAGTTTGTTAAGCAGACGCTTCACCTGTAGTTAAATCCTATTATAAACAGACCCTGTACTTAATTAATTGAATTTATAAAATAACGTATAAACATATATATATATATATATATATATATATATATATATATATATATATATATATATATATATATATATATATATATATATATATATATATATATATATATATATATATATATATATATATATATATATACGATTGCGTCCAGCATGAAACAACCTGTCGCCTCTGAGTGTTGACTTCAATGTTCATTTTATATTTATATTTACATACGCTCTATCTCTGATATTGAGCACTTTATTTCATAAATATAGCACCCTTATATATATATATATATATATATATATATATATATATATATATTTTTTTGTGTATGTGTGCGCATTAAATTATTTTCAGATGGAGTTTATCTGTAAAGGAACAAAATGAATAAAAGTCAAGAAGAAAAACTATTCTTAGCCGACGCGTTAAATCAACTGAGGGAATTTATCGAGGCAAATGTAGGACTTTTGTTGTATGTGGTTATATACAAGAGCAAGTATTGTCGTAGCTGACATTGAATAATGGGACTTTGTGTCCTGTGAATGTTTTGACTGACCACCCAACCACTTGATGGATAGTCGTGAACGTTCTCAATTTTAAAAGCCTTGATAAACAAATGACACTCTTTCTCCTGTATATAAATATTTTTTTTTATCCATAGCTGGTAGCGGGTGGTGGGGGAGGAAGAGCTGGATTCATAACTTTTCCAACGCTATCAGCGCTTAAGGTAGTGTAATGAACTCGACTGGAATTCGAAATCGGCTCTCTCGTTTTTCAGTTCGAAACGTAATCCATTACTGCACCGCGTCTCCTCAACTATGCTACCTGAAGATAAGTTAGCTTAGGGCACCACGAGGTGTGTTATGGGTTAGCAAGCATGACTCACTAGAACAATTAAAATCGAGTTGTGAGTTTGGTCCTCATCGGGTGGCCCCTGGTTTCGGCCTTGTGCCACATCTAAGCTACGTTTGGAAAATCACTATACATTTAACTTATTAAACACTTCTGAAAAGCAGTTGCGAATATTAATATAACATTTGCTGACTAAACCCATTTCTTTTTCATTATTGCATCGGTTACAGCAGGGCAGGTTGATTTTTTTTCTTTTTTAGAAAATCAACATTGCACTCTGTGTAAATGCTGGGGTTTGATGGGATAAGAAATGCCACTAGGAATTGGATTTATGGCTGTTACCAATTTCTGAGCATTAAGTTTATAGTTCGTCTGAAAAAGAACCCTTAATTTCCGGAGGTTTTTACTTACAAACTGACTTCAAAATTTTATATTTCAATAATAAAGTAAAATAAAATTGATATTTTTGGATTAGAGACATTGGATGGATATATTCAAACCAGAATTCTAATTATGAATCGCCACAAGCAAAATATGCACTTTTTTTTTTACTGTAGTCAATAAGTGTAAACTGTGTAAAAAGAATTGTAAAAGATTATAAAAAGGTTACTCAATTAATAAGATGTGTTTGATCATTTGTTAGATCATAATTAATAAAAACAAAAAATCGATAAAAGTGTATATAACACCTTAATACTGCTGGGGACAAATAACGAGACAAAATGTTTTAAATTCTCATTGTTTATTGAAAATCACACTAAAACTACTGCACTTTATAACATATTACATCATAATTAAATTGTTAAATTGTTCAGTATAATTTCTCTTTGAAGTAAATGAAGGTTTTATTTGATGACACAATGATTTAGTAATAATGTACTTGTGCCATGCATCTTGTCCATATACAATTTGAAAAGCTTCAGTAAATTATAAATTTTATAAGTCTGTACTGTAAGGCTTTCACTGATCACCGGAATGAAATTCCAAAGCTACGATTTGGAACCTAAACTTAATCTTTAATCTCGTTACCTCAAAACACGGTAAGGATTTAGAAAATATAGATATTGTGTCATTATTTATCATGTCAAACTTTAACTATCAAATTGAGTGCAATGCCACAATTTCAAAATCAACCTGCCTTACTGTTACAGTGGTAGAAGGAAACATTAATCTCGTATTGCATCATCTTAAAAAAAGGAGAAAAAGATGTCAGGTTGAATCCCCAATGACTTAGGCGCCTCAAAAGGAAGTGCCGAGGAAAATGTACAATATTTGATTATACGCGCGGGATTTTCACTTTACACATGGCCTTTTATCATTTTCCGTCCAAGTTGGAGCGCGGATAAATTCTTAACTAAATCTTGGATATTTTATTTAGAACTTAACTGTTGTAAGTTCGGGGTGTTCACAAGAATGTGCAAATCGAATTTCCCACCAATTGTCACGTATAATTATTCATTTTCCACTGAGATTGTAAGCAACAATAAGACTGCTCCATTTTGCCAATTAGTTGTAACCTGATCGACAAGACGTTGCTCTGTTTAGTTTCCATTGTTATAGGTGGTTCCGTGTCAGACTCTTCATTCTGCGCTCTACGGCTTCGGCTTGTCCTTAATTTGTGTTATATGCAAATGTTATACAATTTGAAATCATTGTGCCGTTCACTTTGCTGAGATAAATGGCGGTTGATACGTTTCTTTCTTTCGTTCTTTCAGCTGACAATTTGATAATGAATATAACGCCTCTGTGTGTCCGCTTCCATTTGTCAATTATTGAAGGAATTATCATTCAAGAAGTTATCGGCTTCTTGTTTTATTCACATCTATCTTTTCTTTCTACATATCTTTCTTTTTTTCTTTATATTTCTATTTCCCTTGCACATCTGTTTTTGTTCATTTTGCAGTTGTTGTGGATCTTGTTTTCATTCATTCTATTTTCTTTCTATTTCCTTCTTTCTTTTGCTTCGATTTTCTCTTTCTTCTCGTTCTTAATTATCTTCGTTCTTCTCTATTTTCTTCTATTTTATTTCTCGTTCAAATAGGTATTGTTCTATGCTATCATTTTATCTTCTAAGACTTGTTAATCCAGGTTTCATTCATCGATAATTCGTTTATTTTCTTCTCCCAACATAGTTTTATCCAGTTTCATTCATTCAGACTTCTTTTTACATTTATTCTTCCCTATTTTTCTTCTTTCTCTATGTAATCGCTCAGTTTCTTACATCGGAATTATTTCATATTTTCTTTGCATTGCTATATTTCTGCTTCGTACACATCTTCGCCCAGTTTCATTCACATATATTTCTTTCAAACTTTAAAAAAAAATTCTTTTTCATCCACTTTTTTGTCTACTTTCGTTCATCGCTATTTCTTCATTTTTTTTTTGTTTTCTTAGTCTACTAATTTTTCATCAAGTTTCATTCATCAATATTTTCCGTCTTTCTTTTCTTTGCCTTCTTTTCTTCTTCCTCCAATTCTTCATCAAGTTTCATTCATTAGCATTTCTTTCACTCTTTTTTGCCTTCTTTACTACTTCCTCTAATTTTTCATCAAGTTTCATTCATCAATATTTTCCGTCTTTCTTTTCTTTGCCTTCTTTTCTTCTTCTTACAATTCTTCATCACATTAACATTCATCTGCATTTCTTTTATTCTTTCTTTACCTTCTTCTTTTCATCCTTCAGTTTTATTTATCAGTATATCTTTGACAATTTCTTTTATTTGGCTTCTTTTTCCTTTTTTATACTCTTCTTTCATACAGTTTCATTCTTCTATATTTCTTGCCCTGTCTTATATTTAATTTTTGCGTTTCCTTGCTTTGTCCTCCACGGAGACATTTGCTTAATATTTTTGTTTTCTTTGTACTAAATCTGACCAACCAGGAGGGTAAATAAAAAAATTTCAGCACTTTCGTCATAACATCTTCAGACAATAGTTCGAATAATTTTTCTACTTTCCCTCGTATAACACTGATGCAAATGTCCTCTTTACGACAAGAACATTCTGTTGCACCATTCTTGTTGGAATGAAGGCGCACAAATCGAACATATGAAAATTACTTCTTGCTTTGAATCTATGAACTCCTGCATCGTTTATCAATATGTAAAAAAATCATTAGGCTGTATTTTTCTATATCTCTAGGATGAAGTATTATTTACATTATTACATTGTTATCCTGATTTTCATTGCCATATTACCAACGTTTAGCTAGTTGCATGCTCCGGCCTTCTTCAGGTGGTTGGAATTTCGAACCGAGCCCTTTATTTCGTCCACCGAAATAGATTGTTCTAGTTCCACGTGCCATGTGTCTTCCGGATGTAACTGAAATAACTGCGACATCCGAAAGAGGCATGGCACGTGGAACTAGGAAAGTCTACTCCGATGGAAGAAATAAAGAGTTCGGTTCGAAATTCCAATCCCTTGAATAAGGCCGGGAGCGTAAAACGGCCGAAACTTTTTGAATATAGCAATGCAGATGACGATAACAGTCCGAATAATGAAAATAATGTAGATAATCATTAGTATGATTTATTTTATGTAAGGTGATGTCTTTCGTTTTATCTCAGAAATAAGACAGGCCACAATTTACATGTATACATATATGTTTAATGTAAATTTGGACAGCGACGTTTTCTTTTAAACATCTTTTGTTAAATATCACGGTCAAGGAAAATTTAATTTTATTTGGCTTTTTTCCAGTATTCTTACATTTTTCCGTTTGGTGGCATTAAAGGAGTAGAAAAACTGTCAATATCATGTCTTTTCCCAAGCGTTGGTTGGTCGGTTGTTTTGTTTTATGGCATATCAACCTCAGTGGGTCATTTAATGTCAACAAAATTTTGAAATAGATTCATAACGATAATTTGGTAAAAAAGTTGTGTATGTATACATATATATTTGATTGTTTTGGTTTGGTTTACGGCATATCAACCTGAATGGATTATTTAATACCGACAAATTTTTTATTGCTGGTAATATTTTGTTTTGTCAAAAAATCTTTCTGGTAATATTGTTTCCTTTTTTAAATATTTTTTTATATTGCTGGTAATAATTTATTCAAATCGTATTGCTGGTAATATTTTTTCCTCAAAAATGTATAGCTGGTAATATTTTTTTCAAAAATGTATTGCTATTAATATTTATTTTTTTTTAAAAAAACATTGCTGGTAATATCTCTTTTCAAAAATATGTTGCTGGTAATAGTTTTTTTCAATATATTTCTGGTATTAAAACCTGTTTTTACACTTTCATAGTGTTTTTACCCCAGTTTCGGGGTTAACTATTACCCATAGCTGGGACCCTAACAGATGCTACCATCCCGGGTGAGAGCGAACCTGGGAACACCAGTAATGAAGAGGTGGTTCCACGGTCCTCAAAACCTCTGATCAGAAGCCTTGCTGTTGGACGTAGTTTATCTTCTTACCCAGGACGTGGATGTAGTTTATCGTCTTACCCAGGACAGTGTCCCAAGAGCTTTCGGCCACTTTATTAGCCATTTTCAAGGTAATTTTGTTTTGGTGTAGTTAGTTTCATTACGTTGTTTTTCTGTATAGCATGTATATTTGTGTGATTTTGAAGTTTAGTCAGAGCGTTAATTCCGATCCATCGCGTGTTGGGCATGGCTAGAACACGAATGGCGACTTCCAATTTTTAAGACTTTCAGGACGCCGCTCCCATTGTTAAACAAGGTGAGGTTGATGGTAGGGTAACGATGTTTGATGTACAGATCCTCCTTTATAATGATATGTTGATTTGATTTACAGAGACCTCCATTTCTTTCGACCAGTATTTTTCTTAAGGGTTCTTGTAGATTGTGGGGTGATAGATGTTTTTATTGCGTTCTGCTCTGATGAGTGACATGTGAGGCGTCTACTCAAACAGGTGGTAGCATGTCCGTTATTGGTAATTGATTTATGAGAAGAAACCCAGTTTTGTACTGGGCAGTGAAATTACATACTTACATACTGTTATTTCTTAATTATTTTGTTTAAACGTTATTTTTGATAGATACTCCCATTCCAGTAGTTCTGTTTTTTTTAATTAAACAGTATTGTTTATCCATTTACATCTACCGGCTTGGATATTCAAGAGTGAACATGTTATCTTGATCAGCTCAAGAAACTACGTAGTAGGCATGACTGAACCAACACCACTCAGCTAAGTGATAAACTTTTTTTCCAAACTAATTCTATTAACGCTCTATCCTTTTTTTTTTATCGAGCACTTTATGACAAAAACCTGCCTGCCCAAAAGGCTTTTTCATCCGGAAAAACAGCAACTCTATTACTTAATATATTACTTAATACTATATATATATATATATATATATAATTATTTATTTAAAAATATGATTCCAATTCGCGATATAAGAGGTCTCATGTTTCAAAACAAGAGCCGAAAACTTCAATATAATTATTTGAATTAAATTGAATTAAAGTAAGCTCTGTTCCATCTTCAAGCGAAATTTTTTTTGGAATAACGTATTTCTGAAATTTACGTGTTTTAATAATTGAAATCAAAATTTACATGGTAACAGCTAGGGCGAATTGTTTAAATTGGGGAGGCGTGTGTTGGGTGTTAATAATAAGTATCAGTATACAGTTACTTTCATAGATGTCAAGTCAGGGAAAGGTGGGGGTGTCTAAATTTGAAACGGAAGATGTATTAACCCTAGTCTGGTATCCTGTGAGACTAAGGATTATCTTTTTTGTAGGATATTTAAACTATTTATTTGGGCTATGGATTAATCAAGTTATTATATTGTATGCTTGTTCTTAGCTAATTATTCAAACCATGAATCTGATGATTGGGCTATGGATTAATCAAGTTATATTGTATGCTTGTTTTTAGCTAATTATTCAAACCATGAATCTGATGATGTCGACAAAAAACCGTTAACTCATGTCTATTGTTTAATAGATTATTATTATTTAGAAACTTAATAATGTGCAATTTCTCATAGAGTGACAGAGGGCATGGGTCATCCCAAGTTTTACATGATGGAACAGAGCTTACTTTAACTCAATTTAATTCAAATAATTATATTGAAGTTATCGGCTCTTGTTTTGAAACATGAGACCTCTTATGTCGCGAATTGGAATCATATTTTTAAATAAATAATTATATTTATGCACTACTTCTGTTTCGAGCACTATTTTTAAAAAATAATAACTAAAATTAAAGTAAGCTCTTTTTAATAACTAAAATACTGAGGGACTTTGGATTATTTACCTAACCAGTTCCTTCCTATTTTCTATATATTTTCACACACACACATACACACACACACACACACACACATATATATATATATATATATATACATATATTGAAAAGACAAGAGGAAAACTATACTTAGTTTTTAGCCGACGCGTTTCCTCGTTTGACGGACTTCATCAACGCAAAAGTGATGGTTTTATTTTACAGCAAGTATATATTTGACAGTTACTCAACATTTTTAAATCTCAGAAAGCTCAAAAATATTCATCAGTCTCCTTGTTTAACTTGATGAATGCTGCCATAATCCTTGCCTTCAGTTCATCTTTAGTATTATATACATACATACGCTCTATCCTTGATATTGAGCACTTTAACCCATGAATAGGCCATACCTTACAACATATATATGTGTGTGTGTGTGTGTGTGTGTATAGGGTAGTGAGATAGATAAATTGTCTAAATTATGCAAAAATGAAAATAACACTGACATCTTATTTTAACAGATATATTTACCAATATTACACAAAAATATCTTGAAATACTAAAGAGTAAATTTATTCAATAAAATCGCAATTCAATAAAAGCTTGGCCTCAAGACAACTGCGGAACGTTCTGCAACTCTTATGTAGGCATCCATGTTGAATCTGAGGCCGTGTGGGAAGATGAATGGAGACACAACGTTGCCATCTTTACTTATCCCTCCGAACTCCTTCGTAATCATATTTAGACTCATCCATCGCTTTCCGAATCCTTTTCACTGTCCTGAGATTGACACCTAAGCAAGCGTTCGTATTGGAGCTTGCGGTTCGAATGACAAACAGTATATCTAAACCGTTTCCAAATTTCTGGCGGAGTGAATTGCGTCATGGTGCACTTTTTTCTCACAGACACTACCCAAATAAACTTACCATACTGTGCAGTCAACAACATCCCAAAAAATAACGGTATGCACGTAATTAAAAATATACATGGCGACAATTTATCCATCGCAACCTATATGTATATTATTTCAGACAGTGTTATAGTGGACTCTTCCTATTTTAAATAGATGCTCCATTTTTATTTATTAAAAGGTGTGTATTACGACCATTTGCTGCGCATTTGATAAATTTGAGTACTGAAAATCTGTATTCCAGTAGAGATCGAACCTGTGTAATAGTGTCGGCTAAAAATAAATCCATGAGTTCTTTATATATATAATATATATATCTTAAGATGTGCTATATTTATTGAATAAAGTGCTCACTACCAGAGATAGAGCGTTTGTAAATATAAAAGTGATCATAGAAATTTTCGTTTTTTTTTGTTTTCATTTAGATGCAATCGTCAGGTCACAATGAGTCGTGGTGGCCTGACGATTGCATCTAACATGAAACAGACTGTCCTGTTCGAAAGTGTTGACTTCTATTCTTATTACTCATATATATATATATATATATATATATATATATATATATATATATATATGTCTGTGTGTGTGTATTTTGTGTGTGCGTGTGTGTGTGTAAATTTTCTATATATAGTGGTCGTAATTCCCATTACGACCGCTATATATAATGGTTGGGAGG